AGGATGAGAGAGAGGAGGCTGGCGGGCGGGGAGAGGGGGCTGGAATCTGTGCTGAGGCACTGGGGGTGACATGATGGAGGTCAAGCCTAGATCTGTTGTTGTGACCCAAAGGGGAAGAACCAGGGATGTGGGGTCATATCCTTTGATCCATAGGGTTGAAGGTCTGGGAAGGGGCATGGGGAAAAGAAGCAAGGACCTAGAGGGGCATCTGCCCCTCAAGATATGTAGGTAAGGGACATAGGGCAGCATGGCTCTGTGGGCGAGAAGGGGATGGGGCAATAACCAGATGTATGCTGGGCCAGAAAGCATAGTGTTGGCTGGGAAGAGATGGTGGGTGCACTTAGTGACTGATCTCACCAGGAAATATTAGCTTGTGTGCTTCTGTCTCCCACCTGCCCAGGCAGTACTCCTTGCTTGGGGTCATGTCTGAAATATCCAGCTTGTGGGGCAGTAACTGCACTGGGTGTGTGTGGGGAGGAGGTGGGCTTAAAAAACTCTGGGGAAATGGCCTTATGGAGCATGTGGGGGGGCAATACTGGGTGAATTCTTAATCTCCCACCCTGTGATTTTGGACTGGGTCCATAGGATACTGATGCTGGTATATTTCAATGGCCTGTTCCTTGTGGATTTCATTTGTGGGAGCCTCTCTGACTAGACTTCCTGCTTAATAGGGCTGGACAGGCAGATGCCTTCTCCTAGTCCACTATTCTGGCACCCGCCCCTATCTAGGCTGGAATGGAGCTAATTCTAGGTGTTGCACCCCCACTCCCATAGGGGACAACTCTGTAGTGTTACCCCTCATGGGCCGTGTGTGCTTGGATTTGGGCCACCAACTTAGCCCATCCTTCCGTTTCGTCCCATGGTTTATACTAGCAGCAGTGCCGTGCCCTTTCTCAACATCCCTTGGAGCCTTTACTTCTGCCCACCTTGGGGTGGGGGAGGGGCCGCTGTAGCTGCTGGGTTAATAACCCTGCTGTCATCCTGGGTGGAGTGCATTGGGGAAGTGGGGTGTGTCACCAGGTCCCAAATAATAATCCTGCATTGTGGTGTGGTGAGTGTCGGGACATGGCTTCTAATGCCCTGCATCTCTGTGAAGGGAATGGGGGACAAGGAAGCTGCATGGAGTTTGGGGTGTGTGACGGCGAGTCGGGGTTCCCCCTGATCCTGTAGCAGCAAGAACAGACTCCGCCAGCTAGTGGAATAGAGAGGGTTTGTTGCTGCTCCAGGATACAGCCCAGCATAGATGTGATATGGTTACCGGAGTCAGAGCCAGGATGCCTCAGACCCTTTGGGTTAGGGGGTCCATCGCCCCCCTAGACCCTCAGCTTAGGCTGTTTCATTCATGTTTCCCAGCCAGCAATTGCCTTGCTCCCAGACCCTGCCCCCCAAACCAGGTGTCTCTCCCCCGGGGAAAGAGCCTTGTTATCTGGTCAGGCTGGGCCTAGGTGTTTTGGCTAATACCCATGTGGGTGAGTCAGTGGGAATCACACATCACAGCGCAGGGGGACGCCGGGTTACAGAGCAGACAGCACCCCCACTACGTCACAGGGTGTGTTGCTCTTGGGGAGAGTAAAAAGGGTGGGGGTTGTAGGGAGACTCACAGTGGAACCACTCATTGAGGCTCTGGCTTGGAGTGGAGAAGAGCATAGTGGGCTGAGGAATGGGGGTAGCTGCTTGCAGGCATGTGGGGGGAAGAGGAAGGACAGCGAGGGGAGGTGTTGTCTCTGAGTGGGAAACTGAAGCACGGGAGCTTTATCTCCTGAGGGTGCACAGTGAGTTAGCAGGAGAGCTGAGATAAAACCCAGGACTCTTGGCTTCCAGCCGCCTGCTTTAACTGCTAGGCCTGACTCCCAGCCTCTTCACTCTAGCCCACTAGATCTCTGCATATTCTCTGCTTTGGCCCAACCCTGCCTTAGTTTCCTTGCCAGGCCTAGGGGTGGCAGTGGGGAATGTTGATCATAATTCTGGTCCCAGTGAATCCCACCCCTTGCACTGAGGCAGTTGTTGTACCTGCTGAGAAACAGGGCTGCTGCCCTTCACGAGTAGGTTATAATTAGCAGCTGTGGTCACTGTACACCTGTTAGGGTGATGTTCCTCTGGCATTTTGGGACTGTCCGGTGTGTCCCCACCATGACCACTGTGCCCCCCCACTTGCCCTCCCCTTCCCTCATGTCTCAATCACCCTCCCTATTCTTGGCTTTCCAGGAAGCTGTTCTAGTGGGCACAGTGTAGCCTGGACTGGCTGCCTCTGGATTGGCTGCCTTGTATGGCTCCTGTCCAGCTGTGTGTGACACATGGTAGCAGTAGGGTCTAATGGTTGGAACGCAGGACACCAGGGTTCTAGTCCCAGCTCTGAACTGACCTGTGGCAAGTCATGTCTCCCTGAGCCTCAGGTTTCCCTCCCGTTCTTTGTCTGTTTCTATTGGAAGCTCATCAGGTTGGGGACTGGTCATAACTGCCCATGTGGCGCCTGGTGCAATTAGGGGCCCCTGATCTTGGCCTGGGGGTTTGTGTGGCTCCCAGCCCATTGGGAGCCTCTGATTTGGGGAGGTCTGTACAGTGCCAGGGGACCCTGATTTTGTTTTGTCCAATAGAGACCTTGATGGGGGGGAGAGGGGCAATTCTTGTACAGCCTCTGGACTCATGAAGGGCCCTCCGATCTGAGTCAGGACCCCAAGCGTAATGGTCAGAATAATGCAATAGCCTGAATACTTAGCATTTCTATGAGGCCTACAAACTAGCTAATTGGAAACCCTGTCTGTACAGCCTGCTACTTCCTTTGCTGAAATGGTTTTGCAACCAGGTCACCTGACCTCCCCAGTCCTTGTCACTGGAGTTGATTTTAGAACAATCCAAGTCATCTGGCATCAGAGGGAGGATCTTCAGATAACTGTGCAGCCTGCAAGGATCAGCTGGCCCTGGATGACATGCAGCCAGCTCTGGAGAGGGGCACTATAGGGGCAGGAAGTGCAACCTGCCTGAAGTGCCCAGGGAATTCCTAACCAGCCCTGCCAGAATGTGGACAGGCCAGTTGGATTCACACACTTAACCAATCACCACTGAGGATAACAAAAGGTCCTGAAGCGGAATCTGGCTGTGCCAGGCCCTGGGAAGTTGTGAGCTGCCTCTGCTTGAGGAGTGGGGAATGCAGTGCTGAGTCAGCTCTCTCTTCCTGGGAAAAGGGTAGCAGACTGCAAGCCAGGACTCCTGGGTGTTATCCCTGGCTGTGGGAGAAGCGTTTAGTGGCTCCAGTAAGGGTGGGGGAAGTCAGGACTCCTGGGTTTTATTCCTAACTGCGTGACATCCCATGCTCTCTGCCTCAGCTTGCCTCCCCATAGACTGTTAGATAGTAAAGTTGCTTTTAATACTTGTAATGCTTAATCCCTTGGTCCTTCATTGGGGAAGGTGGAAAGGGCTGGAGCCCCTAGGGCATGGCTTGGTGGTCTTAGCAACAAGTTGCAAATCCCTTGGGTCAGAGATGCCGCCAGTTTGAATTAGGGATGTTAAATATCGGTTAATTGAATAGTCAAGTAACCTCATGCATTCTTTTCGGTTAGTCGACTATTCTCGAGTCCCCAGGGGTGGGGCACTGGCCTCGTTCCCAAGGAGACCCCTGATACGCTGCACTGCTGTCTCTGTGTCAGAAGCAGCAGCGCAGGATGCCAGGTGGGAGCTGGTCCGCAAGGGGAGCCAGTTTAAAAACCAGCTCCCCTCACGGACCGGATAGACAGCAGCACAGGGTGGCAGCAGCCCCTCTAAGGGGGGGTCTGAGCTCACTGAGCCAGGCTGCCTACCCACCCAGCTTTTAATACATTTTAAATGCAGAGCAGGGGTAGGTCCTGGACCTATCGCAAGCCAGGACTGAGCTGGGCTGCTCGCCAGCCTGCTAAAAAATTTGCGGGCGGGGGAGGGAAATGCATGTAGTTTTTAGCACTAACTTGTGAGCTTTTGCTCATTGGTTACCTGATTACACTATTACATCCCTAGTTTGAATCCTGACAGTCAGTTTGGTGTGTGAAGGTTCTCTCTCTTTGTCCTTGGTCAAATAACTTTGTGCAAGGAATAGCTGCTGGCTTCCGCCCCCACCCCGGAGGTAGCTGAGTCTCAGCGCTGGGTGAGGGATCCCTATATAAACAACCCCCTTGTCCCAGCCCAGAGGTGGCTGCATCTCTCTTTAAATGTGCCTCCTTCTCCCTGCAGTCTGTGAATGAGCTCCTGGAGTCAGTGAACGCCCCACTGGAGATTGTGGATGGCTTCATCAATAGCATCGCGGTCGCCATTCCCTGGTCGGCGCTGGTGACAGAGAACTGCACCGTGGAGGTGACAGGGCTGCAGGTCACGTGCCGGCCCAAGTACCGAAGTGGTGAGAGCTGAGCCAGAATGGTCTTGCAGGGCTGTACCCTCGGTGCAGGGAAGGGAAGGGCTGCTCCCAGCCTCTCCCTGGTGTAGGGGCATGGCCAAGGCAGGCTGCACTCTGGCTAGTCCCTGCTCCTCCTGCTCATAACTGATGTTGCTTCTTTAGCTCCTGCTGCAGAGGCACGAGTGCTGAGCGTGTGGTCCTGGGGCAGGCCTGGCCCAGGGCATGCTGGTAGCCAGCATTGAAGGCTGGTGCCTTAATTTGCTGTACTTCCTTCCCACAGTGCAGATGCTCGGCATCTCTCATCCTGCTTCCACATTTCCCATCAGCTCTGGTGATGGTCAAAGGTCACAGCCAGCCAACCACATGAATGAGGTCCCTACTAGCTAATTACTCCTCTCTTCTCCCCCCTCCCCCCCAACTTGTGAGTTCTGCCCTGCTTGCCTGCAGGAGAGGTGGCTTTAATGAGCCTCCTGGGGATTCTGCTCCCATCTCAGCCTTGACTGGGGTCTCTTGTAGTGCACCACGCAGATATGGGCTGTATGTGACGTTAAGGCTCTGGACTGGGGGCTGACCTGGCCAGCTGGGGTTCCAGGAGTGGGTGACTGCTTCTGAAGGGTCATTTGTCCTTTCAGAGCTGAGGGGGTGGCATGGATCAGTATTCCCTCTAAGCTCAGTACTTGGGCGGCCACCAGGAGAGATTCAAATGCCACCCCTCTAATTAGCAATGCATCCACAACCGGCAGCATGGTGGTGCACATTGGCACATAGCTCAGTGCACATCACAAAACTTATTCCACACGTGGATGGAAAAAAATAGAGGGAACATTGGCTTGGATGCCAGCTGAAAATGCTCCAGTAGAAATAGTTAATAGCAGCTCTTAAAATTGCCCTAAAGACATCTCACCTCCATCCCCTTCACAAGGTTCCCCCATCTCTGCTGCATGCTGCACAGACCCCTCCAGAACCAAGGTTAGGGTCCCTGGTGCCCGGTACTGCACAGACCTAGTGAGAGACCAAGGAAGGATTATCCCCAGTTCTAAATAACCGAGGCCTAGTGACTAGAGCAGCCTGGGGCTTGGATCCTGGCTCGGGCTTGGTCCCTTTCTGTGCCTCTGTTTTGCACTCTGAAGCGGATGCTGAGCATGCAGCTCCCCTGCCTGTGGGGGATGGGATTGACAGTCCCTTCAGTGTTCACTGCCCCTCAGTAATGAAGTGCCGCTGTCGTCCTGCAGCCGCCCCGGGAGCAGAGTCTCAGAGCTGGTCATCATGCATGACCACGAGCATGCAGCTGGCCCAGGAGTGCCTGAAGGACCAGGCTGAGGAGCCCCCCCAGCCTCTTGAGGGCCTCGAGATGTTCGCCCAGACCATTGAGACGGGTGAGTCTCCCCGGGATTTGGTCGGGTGGGAGGCAGGGGGACTCTGACTGCAGCGGGGGAACCAAGGGGCAGGTTAACTGTGTGGAGACCCGGGGATGGAACCCAGGAGTCCTGACTTTTACTCCCAGCCCTGCTCACTTGCTAGAACCCAGTCGACTCTCCCAGACAGAACCCAAGAGTCCAGGTTCCAAGCCTCCCTTGCTCTGCTCCGCAGGCCCCACTCCTGTCCCAGAGCAGGAACAGAACCCAGGAGTCCTGGCTCCCAATCTAACCACTAATCCAAGTGGTAAGCAACTTCTCTTGCCAGGGTGGCATGTGCGTGGCAGTGGAAGAGAAACGGAACATGCCACTCCAGCCTCCCCAAGGGGAGTGACTGTAAAGAGTCTGGCACTTGGGTGGCTGAAGCCAGGATAACCCACCCTCCATAAGAACCAATTTGGGACAGAGGAAAGAAGCCTAGTGCAGGGATCCCGAGAGGAGGTTTTCTAGCCTATTAGGTGGAAGGTGATGTCACCTAGTGGACAGCGCAATGGACTAGGAACCTGGGAGACCTGGATTTTCTTCCGGGGTCTCCCATTGTGACCTCGGGGAAATCTCTGTGCCTCCATATTGCTACCTGTGAAATGGGGATAACGGGCCTTCTCTGGAAAGCACATTGAGATCTACAGGTGGAAACAGGTAATTACTGTGAAATGGTTCCTTAATGTCCCTGGTTCTCTCTGTATTCCCTGCCCAGTGTTGCGGAGGATCAAGGTGACGTTCCTGGACACCATTGTTCGGGTGGAGCATGTACCCAGCAGCTCCCAGACTGGAGTGGCCTTGGAGGTGCATATTAAAAGGTAATGGGGGTTCTGCTCCCCCCATTCTGGGGTGTGGAGGGGGAAACTGATTGTCTCCCTTGGGATCAGAACTTGAGCTACGCTAGGTCAAGCAGGCTGGTACCTGGATGAGAGACATTCCTGAAGGAATGGGGTGGTACAGGGAGCAGTGGAAGGGGACTCAATGAGGGATGCTATTCTCTTTTTTAGTGATGTTCTGATGATCCCTTACTCTAACCACCAGGCCCCTCTACTTTTCCAGAGTTGGGGATTGAACCCAGGTGTCCTGGCTCCCAGCCCTCCTGCAGTAATACATTAGTCTTGCACACTCCTCCCCCACACAGTCCTAGCTCCCAGACCCTGCTCTAACCACCAGGCCCCACTTTCTCCCCAGAACTGGGGATAGGACTTAGGAGCAGCATTCCCTGTAAGCTGAGCATTTGGGAAGCTGCCCAGATGATCAGTAGAGCACCCACGGCGGGTAGCATGTGTTTCTAGAGGTGGTGCACATGCCTCTGTGCACATAACAAAATTTATTTTGCAGATGAATGGAAAAAAATTAGAGGGAAAATTGAGGAGACCTCATTCCCAACCCCTCCCACACAGTGCTAGTCTAAGTGCTAAGTACCTGGCTGACTGAAGCCAGCTTTTGGCCCCTAGGGCTGAGTCTAACCCCATCCCCTGTGACTCCTCCCCCAGGCTGGATTACTGTGACGAGGCAGGGAAGGACCCCAGCCAGGTGCTCCCAGTCGACATCCACCAACCCCCGGCCTTCGTGCACAAGATCCTGCAGCTGAGCGGCGTGTTGCTGTACTACGAGGAGTTCCCTGAAAGCGCAGCCTCGCCTGTGCCTGGCCCCCAGGTACCCCCAGGCACAGCTCTGAGGGGCGAGGTGGGGGGAAGGGGAGTGAGCCTAGTGTATAGGAGTCGTGGCTCCCACCCCCTGCTCAAGCCACTAAACACCACTCCCATTCCAGGGCTCAAAAAAGAACCCAGGAGCCCTGATGTGAACACAAGACATGGGATTGGAAGTCAGAACTCCTGGGTTCTCTCCCCAGCTGGGTGTGTTGGCTGTACATTATTCCCCGGCTATCATGCTGGGAGAGCCCACTGAATCCTTTGGGATGGGAAGGGCTGCTGGTCCCAAGCCAGCCCTCATCCATTTGTAGCAACCAACCTCTTCTTTCCATCTTCCCAGCCCGCACCCCAAATGAGCGAGTCGTCGTCCTCAGCCAGTGGAGAGGCACCTGAGGGTCCTGACCCCCCTGGTCTTCCTCTGCAGATTGGCAGCTGTTCTGGCTACATGGAGATGAGGATCAAACTCAAGCAGAACGAGGCCTTCCCTGGGCCCAAGGTGAGAAACACTGGATGGGGGATCCTGTCCCTGGCTGAAAGGGGAGGTGTGGGGCAGTGCACTACCTACTGGTATTCATTTGTGGAACTCACTGCCTCGAGAACATGCTGTGGCTGGGAGGGGAGTCAGACTGGATGGGCTCACTGTTCTTGTCTGGGAGGGGGAGCCAGGTGATACTGGATGGGTCCAAAGGAAGTTGGGGGAGGGGGCAGAAGGAACCGGCCTAGTGAGCTCTGCTTGTCTCCTCTCCTCAGCTGGAGCTGGACGGCAAGCTGGGATCTCTGCACCTTTTGGTCTCCCCCCAGCAGATTTTCTACCTGCATGACCTGCTGACAGCACTGTGTGTCTCAGGTGAGCCATCGCTGGGAGGTCATTCCACCCTGGCCTCCACCCCCAGCTAACACAGCTCCTGGTAACATCCAAAGAGGTCCCTGGCTTCTGCCCCATGCTGGCGGGGGCGGGGTCCAGTGGGTTAGAGCAGGAGGAAGCTAGGGATCACCAGCTGGTTTGCTGGCTCTGGGGAGCTGCTGCTGGGATGTGGGCTCCGCAGTCAATGCCTAGGATCCCTGTGCCCTGCTTTCGGCTGCCTGTCGGGGCACCACGTGCCTCTTGCTAGCTCTCCGGGGGTCCTACGGGTGACAGCTGCTGGCTGGGCTGCAGCCCTGCCTGGGGACTCTTATGCAGGTCTGAGCCCTGCAGGGGTTGGGGAAACCTCTTCTGATTGTCTGCTTGACCCACTTGCCCACCTCCTGGGGCAGAGCAACCAATCAGAGGTGCTGTTGAAAGAATTCTCTCTCTCTTGTTCAGAAGCCTGAACCATTCCCAGGAGGGGAGGCAGAGCAAAGAGCTGACCTGAGGGGCTGAGCTTGCTATTCCTCTCCCCCCACCCCCATGAGAGGGGCTGCGGGATGGAGGGAGCAACGAGGGCTTTTGTCCCCTCTCCCTCCTTGGAGAAGGATGAGGGGAGCCCCAGGAGAGTCTGGTTCGACTTGGAGCACACAGCAGGGGGGACGGGGGGACCAGGTTTGATGTGGATGTTGGGGAGGCAGAATTAAGTGCTGGGCTGGGGAGGTGCAGGAGCTGCCCTGCAGCAGGAGCTCTCCCCCGTATTCCCCAACACCTGACCTCCTTGGGGGGCCTGGCCAGTGCTCATCCCTTACCCATGGAATGGGAAGGTTGAGTCCAGAGACTCATCAGAGTCTTTTCAAATGTCTCGTGACTCTTGGGAGACTGAATTGTGCCAACCCTATGAGATCAGCACTGCCCTGGGGGTGGAGGGCAGTGTTCCCTGTAAGCTGAGGCCTTGTGTGGCTGCTCTGGAGAGATTCAGATGCTGCCCAGCTGGTGAGCAGATCACTTACCGGTGCATTTGATTTCTACTGATGGTGGTGCACATTCACTCATACCTTGGTGCGCGCACAGGTTTTTTTCTGCACACAGATGAAAAAGATTAGAAGGAACGTGGGTGGGGAGCACTTCAGTGGGACCCAGCCCATGCCCCTCATTCCCCACCCCAGCTGGTACCCTGGGGCTGTATCCTTTCTGTACCTGTCTAATCCCCACGGCTCCTCCTCTCCCCCACCCAAGAAGCAAACGGCCTGCAGGAGAAGCTAAGCAAGAGCCGCCCGCTGGACTCCGAGGACCTGAAGCTGATTGAACAGGACCTGAGCCAACAGCTGCACGGGGGACAGGGCTTGGGGCTGGGCCAGCTTGAGGACTTGAAGAGCTTCGTGAGCCTGGAGAACAGAGGTGACGTATGGGCTCGGCGCATGGGGCAGGAGTGCTAGACTCTGCACTAGATTGTGGCCTGTGTGCTGCACACAAAGCCACCCCCACGCCCTCCTTGGGGACCCAGGGGAGGAGTCTGGGCCCTTGGACTCCAGAAGTGTAGCATAGACTGTTCTCACTTGAGCTCGGGGGGATTCACCTCCACTGGCAGCAGCAGCAGGTCTCTTCTCTTTATGTGCCGCCGCAGGGAGAGGGATTACATGCTGGTGCACTACAAAACCAGAGCATGTACTTCTATAGCCCTGCATCAGGAGCTCTGCTGGTGCCCCTCAGTCCCAGCCCTCCACCCATGTGTTATCCCAGTCCTGCTCCTGTTTCCTCCAGTTATGCTGGTGCCATCTGGCCTGAGCCACAGCCCCTTACTCTGTGAAACCTTGTCTGAAGGCAGCACTTTCTGCTGTGCCTACCCATGTCACGTGGTCTCCCAGTACACGTGACCCTGCTTCTCCCAGCATCCTGTGACCCTGCTTCTCCCCCTTTGCCTTCCAGAGATGTTCTTCTCCATGGCGGCCATGACGAACAGTGTGACCTCTGTGCGCTCAGTCAGCGATCTCTCCGACGGCGAGCTCGACTCCTCTATGCACAGTGACTACAGCTCCTGCCCCCTGCAGCCACCTTCCTTTGCACCAGGGGTGAGAACTCCCTGGTGGGGAGTAATGGCGGGCATAGCTGGCAGCATCTAACACTGTCCCCCGCAGCTACCCCCTTTCCTGTGTCTAGGACCAGTCAGAGCCCTCGGGAGTTGTCTGTGCCTGCTCTGCTCCCAACACTGTGTGGTCCAGACCTCATCAGTGCCACACTTGTCTGGCTCCACATCCCTAATCCCCACCTCTCTCTGCAGCTGATGCTGAGCAGCCCCCGGCGCTATGGCCGATTGCCCTTTGCTGCTACCCTCCCGGGCCTGCAGGGCCTGAGCAAACTGCCGGGTGAGTGGCGCCCGTCCTCCTGGATTCGTGCTGCACTTTAGTGGGGAACGTGGGGTTCCCTGCACTGCTGGAGGGCAGTGAGTTTTGGTGGGGTGGAGCAGCAGGAGCTGGCTGCCTGGACTCCTGGGTTCTATCCCAGCTCTGGGATGGCAAAGGGGATGTAATGGGTTAGTGCCTCACCCCTGAGGGGGATCAACAAGCAAGAAGGGCCCTGGTTCCCTCACCACCCTTCCCTGTTGGAAGACCCTGCCTCGGTCGGCCTAATCTCTCTTTCTCCTTGGAAAGGGCTAGGGCCCAGGGCTCCTGGATTCTGTTCCCAGCGCTAGACTCCTGCCAGCCCCTCCCTGCCCCCCACAACAGCTCTGCCTGTTAATCCCAACAACCAGCCCTTCTTCTGTGGGGCATCCTCTGCTTGGAGAGAAGAGCGCCCTTGCAGGGTTCCCTGCATCCTCTGGGGGTTGCTTTTAATATTCCAGCCCTGCTGGAGCTTGCCTTGTGTGGGAGACCTTATGTGAGCCCTTCCGTGAGGAGCGTGGCCAGTTTAATTCCTTTGCTAGCCACATTAACCCAGGACTAGCCAGAGGAGTGGGGAGCGCTTCCTGCCGGCACTGTCTGACCTGAGGTGCTTGGTCTGTTGCAGGCAAGGCCCCCCAGATGCCCTCTCTGGAGAACCTGCGGCCGGAGACGCTTCTCAGAGTTACGGTGGGCGGTCTCACCCTGACGGTCCCGCATCAATGGCCTGGCCCGCCCACCCCTCCCCAGCTGGCCCAGCATTTCTTTGCGGAGTTGGCCTTCTTCAAAGACTCTGCCTTCGGTGGGCGGGACTTTGGGCACCTCCGCAAGTGCTTTGAGAAGGCCTGTCCTTGCAGTAACCTCAGGTAGGCTGGGCGCAGCCCCCTGCCCCTCAGGGGACACACAATACACCCTGGCTGCTTCCTACGCTTGTCAAGGGAGTGGTGTGGAGGCGGATAGCAGGGGATGTTTTAGAGCTACACAGACTGGGAGGGTAGGGCACAAAACCACACTGGGATTAACCCTTCTCATGGCACAGTGCCCCCTAGTGCTGTGCTGGGGCACCGGGGCCAATACTGACAGCGAGAGGACAGTGTCCTCCCACCTCGTTCCTTGAGGTCTCCCCTCCACATGCTGATTGTCCTTGTGCTTGCCTAGCTTGTGAGGTCTGCCTGGAATTGCAACTCGCAAGGACTATATAGGGTAACAAGAAAGGTTTCTAGAGGCATGTTAGCAAGAAGAACGTGATCAGAGAGGCTGTGGGGCCTCTACTGGATGAGGGTGGTAACTTGGTGACAGATGATGAGTGGAAAGCTGAAGTACTCAATGCTTTCTTTGCCTCTGTTTTCACGGACAAGGTCAGCTCCCAGACTAATGCACTAAGTGACGCAATATGGGACGAAGGTGGACAGCCCTTGGTGGGTAAAGAACAGGTTAGGAACTATTTAGAAAAGCTAAATGTACATAAATCCATGGGTCCGGACTTAATACATCCAAGGGTACTGAGGGAGTTGGCAAATGTCATTGAGGAGCCTTTGGCCATTATCTCTGAAAAGTTTTGGAGATCGGGAGAGATCCCGGATGATTGGAAAAAGGCAAATGTAGTGCCCATCTTTAAGAAAGGGGAGAAGGATGATCCAGGGAACTATAGGCCGGTCAGTCTTACCTCAGTCCCTGGAAAAATCGTGGAGGGGATCCTCAAGGAATCCATTTTGAAGCACTTGGAAGAGGGGAAGGTGATCAGGAATAATCAGCATGGATTCATGAAGGGCAAGTCGTGCCTGACCAATCTGATTAGCTTCTATGATGAGGTAACTGGCTCTGTGGATATGGGGAAGTCAGGGGATGTGATATACCTTGACTTTAGCAAGGCTTTTGATACGGTCTCCCACAACATTCTTGCCAGCAAGTTAAGGGAATGTGGATTGGATAAATGAATGGTAAGATGGATAGAAAGCTGGCTGGGAGGTCGGGCCCAGCGGGTAGTGATCAACGGCGTGATGTCAGAATGGCGGTTGGTTTCTAGCGGAGTGCCCCAAGGTTCGGTTCTGGGACCGGTTTTGTTCAACAATTTTATTAGTGATCAGGATGAGGGGATGGATTGCACTCTCAGCAGGTTTACAGATGACACTAAGCTAGGGGGAGAGGTAGACACGCTGGAGGGAAGGGATAGAGTCCAGAGTGACTTAGACAAATTGGAGGATTGAGCCACAAGAAATCTGATGAGGTTCAACAAGGACAAGTGTAGAGTCCTTCACTTGGGACGGAGGAATCCCAAGCATTGCTACAGGCTGGGGACCAACTGGCTAAGTAGCAGTTCTGTAGAAAAGGACCTGGGGGTTACAGTGAATGAGAAGCTGGATATGAGTCAACAGTGTGCCCTTGTAGCCAACAAGGCTAATGGCATACTAGGTTGCATTAAGAGGAGCATTTCCAGCAGATCCAGAGATGTCATTATTCTCGCCCCCAGGTTGACTGGAGCAGCCCTACAGGTCACCTGCCAGCAGAAAGCAGCTGGAGCCCTGCGCATGCTCAGCTCGGAGGTGAGCTTTGGCATGCTGGAGATCCTGGAGTGCTTGTGGCCAAGCACCAGCCCCGAGTGTAGGCAGCAGAAGCCAGAGTACACAGAGGTAAGGGGTGGTGAGTGGATGGCAAAGCCACACCCAGGACGGCACTGGTGTCATGGCTCCCTTCTGTTCCTCACTTCTGACCTGACCATGCTTGGGGATGGCTGGGGGGGATGAGACCTCAGCCTTCACTCATGGTGCACCGAGCCCCAGGGAAAAGGCTGGCTGTTGCATTGAGGATCTGTTGGCATTGCCTGAGAGTGGGGAGTGCTCCTGCTCTCAGTGCTCCATTGGCTCTGCCTGGGAGGGGTGGGAGTGCTCCTGTTCTTGGTGCTCCATAGGCTCTGCCTGGGAGGGGTGGGAGTGCTCCTGCTCTCGGTGCTCCATAGGCTCTGCCTGGGAGGGGTGGGAGTGCTCCTGCTCTCGGTGCTCCATAGGCTCTGCCTGGGAGGGGTGGGAGTGCTCCTGCTCTCGGTGCTCCATAGGCTCTGCCTGGGAGGGGTGGGAGTGCTCCTGCTCTCGGTGCTCTACCGACTTTCTGCGAGGGGCAGGGGAGCCATGTGCAAAGATCAAAAGAGTGCGAGGGGAGGGGAATTACTGTTATGGGGGAGCAGATGGACCAAATGATGCTCAGGCAGGGCTAGGCCTGTGGGACCCTAACCCAGAGGCTCAGGGGTGGGAGTTAGAGCCTTGGCAGAGTCACCCCCCCTTTGAACACTCAGTGACCAGACTGGAGTATGGACCCAACCTTTGGATCTCACGTGTTTTCAAGCTCACTGGGTCTGAGGCACGTCTAGTTGCTGTCTCATGTCCTGGCCTGCTGGCATGCTCCAGAGGGGGCTAGGCCTGTGGGACCCTAACCCAGAGGCTCAGGGGTGGGAGTTAGAGCCTTGGCAGAGTCACCCCCCCTTTGAACACTCAGTGACCAGACTGGAGTATGGACCCAACCTTTGGATCTCACGTGTTTTCAAGCTCACTGGGTCTGAGGCACGTCTAGTTGCTGTCTCATGTCCTGGCCTGCTGGCATGCTCCAGAGGTACAGACTCCCTTTCTGGCATTCCTCCTTCCCCCCCCGCCTGCCAGGGGCCCCAAAGCCAGTGCTGACACTTGCCCATGTCTCCCCGGTAGCTTATGCATTCTGCTCCCAGAGTACCTCCTTTTGTGAGATCAGTGTATAGCTAGTTTAACTGTTTGGGACCTAGCCCCCTCCTCCCCCAACCCCTTCTTGCCCCCTCTTCCCTGTGCACATTTTGCCTTTGGGAAGCAAAAGAGAGTTTGGATCTGTGGGCAAACATCCAACACTTGAGTGAGTCCCTCCTTTCAGAGCCCTGCCCCCTTGAGAGTCTTCTGGGTTCTGCTCAGGGTCACTGAGGCAGGCCAGGGCCCTCCTGCTCAGCTGCAATGATCTGGTCCCTTGACTCGACCGTTTGGCTTTGGAAAGCCACTTCTGACACCTCTTTCTACTTCTCATGCTGGGCTTGTGTGTGCTCTGGCCTGCTTTGGAAAGCCACTTCTGACACCTCTTTCTACTTATGCTGGGCTTGTGTGTGCTCTGGCCCAGCTGCATGCGGCTGGGCACTGGGGTTGTTAAATGTCCTTGATGAAAAATGCCCCAGTGGTGAGGAAACTGAGTCAGGGAATGGCGTGTGGGCATCGGACCTGTCTGGATCTGTAGGTCTCTTGTGCTGTCTGAGCAGGGATGGTTACAGAAATCATCTGCAAATCTGTGTCTGCTGCCTTCCGCTGTCACGTGTTAAATGATAAAGCGGAGTGCTGTGCCATGGGTGGAGTTCTGGGAGAGGGCTGGTGTAAGATACTGGGGTGTCCTTGGGGGAATGACTGTGCCAACCTAGGGGGTTGGACTGCAGGGTCCCATGTCAGGGGAGGGGTATCTGACAGTCTGTGCCCAAGAAATGTCCCAGAGAAGTCAAGGAGAGGGATGGGGACGGAAGCCTGCACAAAGGGGAACTTAAAGCCCGCGGGTCCAAACACATCCGCCTGGTGAGGTCCAGCAGGGGGTGCACTGTATCTCCAGGGGACGTCTATTCAAAGCTGATGGCCTATTTCTATTTCAGCTCCTCACACATGGTCAGTTTTCTGCCACAGACCAGAAGGTCTAATCCACATGGATTGTCCCAGTCACAAACAGTGACTGGAATTGGTCAGTTTAGACGTATTCTCTGAGTGGCTCCAGCAGTGGCTCTGTTGGACGGCATGCTGGGCTGGCCTGGAGAACAGACTGGGCTAGAGGAAGCACAACCTGATGCCTCAGCCCATTGCTAGGCAGGGACTAGGCTGCCTGAGCCTTCTGTCCCTGGTAGCTACTGTGCAAGCATCTGATGGGATGAAACCCAGCCCCAGAGATGGGTGGGTGAGTGGGTGTGGGGCAACATGAATTTGTTCTTGGGGAAACTGAGCATCCCATTGGACCTGCTGCACAAACCTTCCCCCTACTGCTTTCTCTCGTCAGCTAATGACCTTCAAGAATCCCAGTGCCTTCACCTATAACTCCTCGGCCCGGCCCTGCGCCCAGATCCACTACAAGCAGTCTGAGAAGCTGCCATCCAAGGTGAGCAGCAACCTGAGGCCGGAAGGTGTCTTAAGATTCAGTGTGATTGCTGTTTCTTCTCGTCTCCCACCCACGAAGGCTTCCCCTTTGGGGAGCGACTGGGTGTCACAGGGAGCAGAGCCATCGCAGGCTGCCACTTAATGGCATTGCAGTGGGGGAGGGGGTGTTGGCTGCACAGGGTTATCTGCCCTGGAGTGCTGGGAGCACTGGTCCTTTCCCCCTGTCGGGCGTGGAAGCGCTCGTGAGCTCGGAGCTTTTCTGGTTCTCCCTGGCTCCTGTTAAGTTGTGTTCTGGGAGCACTTGGACTGCCTCGTTGAGCTGTGGAGGAGGGAGGATGCCTCACTGAGCGAGGCACTGCACAGTCCCAGATGATCTCTGCCCCGAACAGCTCAGTCTGTTTAGAGAAAGGAAGGGCTCCTCTCCATTTTCCCCCTCTGTAAAATGAAGCAGCAAGCAGGGAAGTGCCTGGTCCAAGGCGTCACAGTAGACTGGAACCAAAGTGTCCCGAGTCCAACCCAATTGCTTAACCACATGGCCACCCTTCAACAGTATGCCTGAATAGGTGTGGGGAGCTTGCCTGCGGATGGTGCTCCATTGGCCTGGCCTGAGGGTGGCAGGAGCTCTCCTAGTTGATCTCCATTCAGGGACACATGATCTTACACAGCCAGACTGGGCGGGGCTGCATCAGCAGCAGGGGAAGCCAAGTAGATGCAGGCAGAAAGAAGCTCCAGCTTTCCTGGGTGACCCTAGAATAACACACTGGCAATCACAAGAGACCCTACAATAATACAGCAACTTGTAGAGTCCCAGACTGCCAGGATGAGCTCAGGTGTTGCTCCCTCCCTCTACACTGCTCTGTAGAAGCTATGTCTGCCGGCTGGGGAGGTGTTCCCCAGGCTCTCATGGTTCGCTCTCTCTCTCTCTCTCTCTCTCTCTCTCTCTCTCTCTCTGCAGAGCACTCTCAGGAAGGCTGGGGCTAAGCGAAGCTCGGAGCTGTTGGCGGAGCTGGCAGAGTTCCACTCTGATGTGGACCTGGGTGTCCTAGACCGGCTTGGGTCCCTCCTCCATCTGGGAGCAACAGCGTCCATGCAAGATCAAGTCCCTGGCCTCCGAGCGGACATGAATGTGGTGCGTGTAGGAGACGGAACATTGGCGGGAGGGGGAGCCTGTTCCCAGATGGCTGCAGAGGAGGAGGTGCTTGTGCCTGCAGTGGGGGGGGGATGTGGAGGGACACCTACGCCCCACGAGTGGAGCTGAGTGATGTGGTGTTCCAGACGGAGCTGTGGGCAGGACTGGGGAGCCATGGAGAGCCCACCCGGCTAGAGGTGACCTTCAGCGACTTGCATGGTGAGCATGGGAAGGGCTGAGCTGCAGGGCCTCCTGGGAAGTCTGTTGCTGAGTGGGGCTCACTGTTCCCTGTGGAGAGTAGGAGGCTGCTCTAGCCTCAGTGGAGCTGAGTGATGTGGTGTTCCAGACGGAGCTGTGGGCAGGACTGGGGAGCCATGGAGAGCCCACCCGGCTAGAGGTGACCTTCAGCGACTTGCATGGTGAGCATGGGAAGGGCTGAGCTGCAGGGCCTCCTGGGAAGTCTGTTGCTGAGTGGGGCTCACTGTTCCCTGTGGAGAGTAGGAGGCTGCTCTAGCCTCTGGGCTCATACGGTCGGGCAGTGTCTGCTCTGGCTCTAGGAGCCAGGTCCAGGGTTGGGTCCCTGCTCTCAGGGGTTTCTTGTTCCCCTAAGGGGCTGGAGGGCAAACCCAGGCTGCAGGGACAAGGCATGAGGCTCACAGGAACCCCCTCTGTTCAGGTTGAGGTGAGGGGGGGGACATGGGACCCCAAGTCTCCTGCTGTAGAATAGGAAGGTGATGTTTCTGAACGGGTCCCTCTTGTTTTCGTAGAGCCTACAAAAACTGGCATGCTCTTACCAGAGCCATCATGACACCGTTCTTCATGCTAACCAGTAGGCTGCCCTCCTCCCTGCCTGCCAGATCCAGGAACAGAACCCAGGAGGCCTGGTTTCCATCCCCTCATGTGCTCTGACCATTAAGCCCCTGACCAGAATTCAGGAGTCCTGAGTCTTGTGCCCCTCCCTGCTCTCTCCATTAGATTTCACTCTGCTGCTGGAGTGGGAGATAGGACCCAGGGGTCCTGCCTCTTTACTTCTCCCCCACCCAAGTCCCCTTGCAAAGCCCTCCCTGGTGTAGGGTAGAAGGGCAGGGTTTGGCAGGCCTGGGGATCTGTCCGGCTACTGAGTCCAGCCGCTCTCCTTGCAGGTCTGTATGAAGATAACGAGAAGCTCGCCGTACCCTGCATCCGGGTGAGCAAAGCCCTCGACCCTGAGGCCAAAGGACCGGGCAAGAAATATCTCTTCCCAAAGTGAGTCTGTTTTGGGGGGGAGGTGGAGTTCCTCACCCCTAGTGTGCACCCTTGTGGGAGCAGCTTCCTCTGCCCGAGCCCTTCCCACCCCTCAGCTCCCCTCCCCCATCTCCATCCTGGCTGACTGTCATCCAATCTGCATGGAGCACCCCTCCAGCTGGTGCCCCAATTGGGGGAGGGCGCAGCTCAGATGTGTTAGGGGCAACATTTCACTGCTGCGCTTGAGGAGGGGGCAGGTAGCCCTTGGTGGGTGGGGGTTTCCACTGATCACCCTGTGCCCTCTGACTCTCCCTCCTCCCCGCCCCATGGCAGGATCACAGTGACCCTGACCCCCCAACACAGCCCGTCACAGTGGGACTTGGAGATGGACAAGTCGGAGGAGATGGATCTGTCAATGGTGGAGAGCCCCTGTGAGTTGCGGCGGCCAGAGCCCTCCCCCTTCTCTTCCAAAAGGACCATGTATGAAACTGAGGAGGTAAGGGGGGTCCCCTGGTGCACGGTGGGGAGGGGGGGTGCAGTTCATGGGAGCATGGAAAGCCACCTGGCCTGCCAAGGGGTCTGATCCAACCAGGAAAGGGATCAGAGGTCTCTTTGGGGCAGGGGGCTCGGTTAGCCCACCAGGACTAGGATGTAGAGTATGGGCTGAGAGATCCCGAGGGAGGAGCCCTGGAGATGTGAGAACAGCCCCTCTGGGGTTCTTAATCCCTTCCATTCCAGGACCCCTTCCTATCTAGCTTGAGCTCTCCCCTTCATTGAATAGTAAAGAAAGGGTGGGAGGGGGGTTATGACCCCCCAACACGGGGATCACAACTGGCCCCAGCCCATGGCCCAGTGGGAGCCTTGGCCAGGCCTTCTGCGTACCCCACAGCCCTGCACGTCACTCAGAGCGGCTGGCTGCTGGGGCATGTGAGTCTCTGTGCACCTCTGCGAGCCATGGAGGGCGACTTGGCGTGCTGCCCTGCCTCCAGCACAGCTTTGCAGCACCCATTGGCCAGACTCTACCCTGTTTGCAGGGCAGGCAGCACACAAGGTACCTACCCCCTCCCCCCAGACTGCACATGGCCCCCTCAGCCAGCCACTTTGAGCAGCGTGTGGGGGTGGGGCAGGAGGGAGCTTGTCTTCTGGGCTGTTTGCTGGGAGCCACCTAGGTAAGCACCTCCCAGTCAGAGCCTGCCTCTGACATCCTAGCCCCTCCCTCCTCGTAGCCATCTGCCCCCTTCATACACCCCTGTCCCACATACCCAAACCCTGCTCCTGCACTCATACCCCCCTGATCCTGCACCCTCTCCTGAACCCACTCTCTAGATCAGAATCCTCTCCTGCACCCATAGCCCCTCCCAGACCTTGCTCTCCAAACTGCTGTCCCAGGTCACAACCCAAACCCTCCGCACCTCTGCTCCGGCACCCTCCCTCCCTCCCAGATCCTGCACCTCCACCATTAATTACACAATATCTAGCATCCCTAACTGAATAGTCACATAACTACGTGAAGTCTTAGCGGTTACATGACTGTTCGATAGTCCCTGGGGGCAGGACCATTAGCCAGTGAGCTTTGGCCCCACTCCTTGGGAGTCCCCTGCCCCCCACACTGTTGCCTCTGTATCAGAGACAGCAATGTGGGGTGGCAGGTGGGAACTGGTCTGTGAGGGGAGCCAGTTTAAAAACCGGCTTTCCGCACAGATCGGCTGCCTGATACAGAGGCAGGAGTGCAGGATGGCAGGAGCCCCTGTCCACAGGGGGTCTGAGCTCCCCGGGGGGCAGAGGCTGCTTCGCGGTGGTCTACCCTGCCCTTATCCTGCTGCTTTCTCTGATAGAGGCAGCATGGGGGCAGGGCGGGGAGCTGGTGCTGGGGGGAACCAGCTTTTAAGCCAGCCTCCCCTCCACCCCCCCGCACCAGCTCCTATCTGTGCCCCAGCTTCTGTAGGTGGGGGAATATGGGTAGTCAACAGGAGTAACCGATAAGCCTAGGCTTATTGGTTAATCATGCAGTTGTCTACACAATTACATCCCTCCTGTTAATGTCATGGAAGAGTGTGGCCCTTATCAAATTTTCAGTGGCCCCTCATCAAAAATTATTGCCCACCCCAGTTTAATAGCTTGTTGGCCAAAGCAGGTACCTGTTCCTTCAAGTCTTTAATCCCTCGTGTGCTGGGCTCTCCCAAGATGGTGATCCCTGGAGACCCAGAAGAGATGGCGGAGTTCCAGGCCAAGACCGTGGCTGCCTCGCAATATGCCCTAGAAGTGACCCTGCCCAGTGCCCACATCTTCCTGCCTAGCAAGGAGTTCTACGAGAGCATCTATAACAGGTACGGTGCCGGGACAGGGCACATCTAACTGGGTATCCTGGCTGGCAAGCAGTAGCCATGGGCCAGGCAGCGGCTAGGCATCAGATCCTGAATCCTCCCGCCTACCCCCCGGACCCTTGACAGAGAGGAGTACCGGGCATGCCTATGTGAGGGGTTGGAAGAGCTGTCAGCTGGGGCAGACCAGGCCTGAGCAGATAGATCCCAGGTGGCCCAAGACTCCTGGGTTCTGTTCCCAGCTTTGAAAGGGGCGTGGCTTGTGGCGGGCAGGGCAGGGCTGGCAGCCAGGGCTCCTGGGTTCAGTTCCAGGCTTTGCTGATGATGATTTTGGCAAATCGCTTCCTGTGCCTCTGTTTCCCCACGTGCAAAATGGGAGATGGCACCTACTGAGTGGCCCATCCTGCTCCATACAGCGCTTGGCGGTACCCGTGAGAGTGCTCTGTGCTACGCTTTCTAAGGCAGCGTATCTCCTTCCGCGTTTGTACCATGCCCAGCACCCTAGGGCCTGTGTCTGGGGAAGGATTGGGGGTGCTTTGGGTGGCCCCTGGCCTAGCAGAGGCAAAGGCACTTGTGGGCTTGAAGCATCTTTCCTTTCCTTCCCTAGGATAAATAACGACTTGCTGATGTGGGAGCCAGCCAGCCCCCGCTGCTCCTCTGGGCCTGCAGCGGGTGCTGCACCTGGGGCCTTCTTCCCCGGCCACCCGCCCCCTCCTGCATATTGGCAGGACAAGTTCAAGATGTGCAAGTCGGCCTTTAAACTGGGTAAGAAGCTGAGCCCCAGCCAAACCCAAGGGAAGGCTCCTGTCACCTGCACCGACCTGTGAAGTCTTCATGGATGGGGAGCAAAGGGCTCTGGTGGGGAATCCCAGCGTGGTTGTTTGCTTTGTGATGGGTGCAGGAAAGGGTAGAGCCGGGGAGGCTGGGAGTCAGGACTTCTGGGTACTGTACCCAGCCCTGACCTTTGGCAAGACCGTCCCTTCCCTGCCTCAGTTTCCCCACGAAGCAGTGTTTGCCACTAACCCTCCTCTTCCCTGTCCCCGTCAGACTCGGACTCTGAGGACGAGGACTCTCACTTCTACTCGGTGGATGAGGCGGTGGCTCAGCGGAGGAAGGGGGAGCAGCTGAGCCAACACCAGCAGAGCCATTTCTCGGCTGTGGTCTCTATCCTGAAGGGCAGGGTGACAGCTCTGTGCGAGGCCAAGGTGAGGGCAACCCCCAGGGTCCCCTGCCAAGCCATCTGCTCTGAGCTCCAGCTCAACAGGGCCGGGCCTGCCACTGCTTGGTTGGGAGAGCTCTGGGCACTGTGGGGAGCAAGGCAGTGGAGCCCTCCCCTTGGAGCCAGAGGTGGTCCCAGTGTGGCTCTAGGGGGCACTGTGCTGCAGGGACTGGGATGGGGGCTATTGCTTTTCCCTAAAATTGGGCTGCTCCTTCTAGTGTCCAGGCCACATTCAAACCTGGATTGTTCTCTGCCTCTCCAAATGCCCACCTGCAGTTCCAGCAGATACTGGATCCTGCTGGGTACTGTTTCAATAAGCCCTGGCCCCTCCCCAGAGGTGGCTGCCTCCAGCCCCAGAGGAGGGATCCCTGTATAAATAGCCCCACCTGCAGTCCCGGAGGCTACAGCATTTCAGTGCGGGGTGACCCTGGAAGGGCAGTGATCTGCCCAAGAATCTGACCCTTGTCCTCCTTCCCCTCTGCCCCCAGGATGAGTCTGCGAAGAAGCTGGACGACTCTCATGGAGAGATTGTGCTGGATGTGGACAGCTGCACCCTCTTCAGTGTGTCCCGGTATAAGGGCCAGGAGGAGCTTGGCTACCTCTGCATAGAGTCCGAGAGAGTCACCCTCTATCATAAAGGTACTGCCCAAACTGCGGGGGAGCGGGCGGGGCGGGTCCAGACTCCTGGGTTCTGCCCTCTCTTCTGGGAGGGAGAGGGATCTCTTCTGAGGGGGTAGGGTTCTGGTCCTGTGTCTGGTGCTGCTAAAGCAGTGGGGTCTGGGAGCCAGGTTCTGTTCACATGGCTCAGTGGGAGAGTTGGATTCGGACCTATCCCCATGCACTGACTGGGGCGAGGCAGGGGCCTGAGGTCCCAGAACAGACCTCAGGGCTGCTCATTGGACCCGTCTGCTCTCGCTGGTGCCCTCCTTGGGGTGCTGGATGGACCAGATGAAGCGCTTTGGAGCTGGGGCTCTGCTCTGTGCCCAGCCGCATGGTGCCCGCAGGTGGGAGCAGCCAGCCGGCCAAAGAGGCAGCTGAGCTAAGGCCAGCCTGGAGGCATTTTCCTGCAGCGGGGAGGGGGCTTTTGTTCCCAGTGGCTGCTCAGAATGAGGAGGGGAGAAATATAAGGGGGTGGCTTTTAAAGAGACAGAGCAGCGCTGAAGGGGGTGGGGAAGCAGCTGCCAGGGTTGTTAATGCTGATGTGACATCAGCATTTGTCTGAGTGGGTCAGGATCAGAACTTCATTTTACAGAGGGGAAATTGGGGGAAAGGGAGCAGTGATTCTACCTGGGGTCACCCAGCAGTCCAGTGGCAGGGCTGGGAACAGAGTCCAGCTCTCCTGAGTCCCAGGGCATTGGGAGGGGGCTACTGGAGGGATAGATGGCCAGCCAAGCTCTTTGTGTCCCCTCAGCTGTGGTAGAGGACTACTTCCTGGCCACTCGTTTGGAGATCCCCAGCTTCACCCCCCCGGACCGGCTGCACCCCACAATCTACGCCTCAGAGGAGGGGGTGCTGAGTGGGTTGGCAGGTGGCAGGAAGGACAGGCCCCTCAAGATGCTCTCAGCCACTATTCGCATCAACTTGGACTTGAAGAAGAACATCAAGGTATCATGTCTCCAATGGTGGGAAGGGAATTGGCTGGGCAGGCTCCCTCCTCTCCCCTGTCCTCCAAACAGGCTAAGTGCCAAACCAACCCCTTCCTGGGATCAGCAATTATTGTTAATTTAGAACATCTCCACGCCAGCTTTCATCTGACTTGGCTGTTCCTAGAGCAGTGTTTCTTAAACATTTTAAGATCGAGGAACACTAAACAATATTTTTTTATGAGGAACACCACAGATATTTTGTTGAACAAAAAATTATTGACCCAAAAAAAGGTCAGGAGGGATGTTATTGAGAAGAAAAAAGTCTTCTGCCTCTTTAAGGGTGGCCATTTTGAACTCTGTTCTCCGCGGCACACCTCGGACTGCCTCTGTGCCGCGGAACGCAGTTTAAGAAACACTGCCCTAGAGAGTATTTCCCTGTTGGATTTTCTCTGCCCCTTCCCCACCTCAGAGAGCTACGGGGATAGTCCTGCCTTGAAGAAAATAGGGCTCCCCTGATCTGGCATGGGATGACTTGGCATGAACAGCCATGGGTCTGTATGGGGCCCAGCTGGTGGACTGCCATGTGGGGGTGCTAGCAGCCTGCTGGCTTGGTTGGGGGAATATGCCCAAAGGGGTTCATAGACTACATTTCCCCCCCCTCCCATCCCATCTTTCAGGGCTTTTCCCCATCTTGGGGAGGCATCTCCCTGGTTTGTAACTTGGCTTCTCCAATCTCCCCTTCTGCAACCTGAATCCAGGAATTCCTGGTCACCTTGAGGCTTGAAGGGGCCACCATGCGACATCACATGGCGCTGACCAATCAGAGCTGGTACACACAGGTACGTCCTGGGCCAGATGTGCACCGCTGCTCTGCAGAGCAGCAGCCGTGGGGCTGGGGAGACGTGGGCCGAAGGAGAGGGAAGCTGGGCCAGCCCCAGCATGGCAGTAAGACACGGAGCGTTCCCAGAGGGCAGGTTGGATCCTCCATGGCTTGGACTCGCCCAGCTGAGGGGAGTTCGACTCATTCATTGGGCAGGGCTTGATTCTGTTCACTTAAAGCAATTCATGCCCTTTGAGGGTGCACTTGTTTCCTACTGCTGCAGTGATCAGCAGGGGATAGCTGATCTTGTCTATAGGAGGGATTGCCTAGTGGTTAGGATGCTTGCCTGGGATTCTGCCATAGGCTTCCTGTGGGACCTTGGGCAACTCTTTGGGTCTCGTTTTCCTTACTTGGGTTTTGGTGAGGGCGTGAGGCTGGGTGGCCTAGTAGCTAGAGCACTGGCCTGGGATTCTATTCCCAGCCCTGTCACTGGCCTGCTCTGTGACTGTGGCAAGTCACTGCCACTCTGTGCCTCAGTTTCCCAATCTGTGCAGTGGGGACATGAACCCTGCCCTGCCCCAAAGGGTGATTGTGAGGATAAATCTGTGCGCTGGAAAGGTCAGTCTGAGGCTGAGAGGTCGCTGTGTCACTTTATTCAGCACTGTTCCTGCATCTCTGCCATGAGGTCAGGCTCTGGCAGACTCAGGCAGGTGCCAGGAAATTGGTTTTACGCTACACACATGGGGAAGGCTGCTACACACAGGGGCCTGGGCTGGAGGCAGGAGTCCCGGGGGGCTGGGTCTCCAGCTGAGGGGATTGGGACAGGCCTTTCTGCCCCTTGAAGAGCTGCAGTCCGGGTTGCACGTGCTCCCACTCCCGCCCTCTCTTGCAGCTGATTGACTTCCTGGATGTACTGGACGATCCGATTCTGGGCTTTCTCCCCCCTACGGTCATTACGGTGCTGCACACCCACCTCTTCTGCTGCGCAGTTGACTACAGGTGCGGAGGAGAGCGGGGGCGAGTGGGCTGTGGGGAAAAGGGCAGCTCTAGAATAGGAGAGGCCCTTGGCTGTTTGTACAGGAGGAACAGAAGTGAGACCAAGAAGTTACATTGACAGATCCGGTCCAAGGGAATCTGGGCTCCTGGGCTCTGGTCCCAGCTCAGGGAGGGAATGGGAATCTAGTGGGCAAGGAGCCAGGATTCCTGGGTTCTAGCTTCAGCTCTGGGAAGGGGGCGACGTCCTTGTTAGAGCAAAACCTCACAGCCTGGTCCCTGCTGTCCACTCGCCCTAATCTTGGCATCTTGGGGATGGGATGCAATGGTGGGAGCCTCTGGCACCTTAAGATAATCCCCCATTGGGCCAGGAAAGCTGGGCTGGCCAGACAGGATCAGAACCCAGGTCTGTTCAGGGCAAGGAGTAAGGACCTAGCCGGGGCAGCTGTGGATCATCTGTCCCCTGTGAAGATGGGGGTGGGAGATAATCCTGCCTTGCTGGGGCTCTCCCTGCTCCCTTAGCCCTCTCGTCACACCCTGCCCCCATGCTGGTTCTGTCCCTACCGCTTTGCATGGTAAAGCCCATCTCGCCCCTCAGGCCCCTGTACCTTCCCGTCCGCGTGCTCATCACGGCTGAGACCTTCACCTTGTCCAGCAACATCATCGTGGACACTTCGATCTTCCTGCTCAGGTAGGCGTTCTCCAGCTGGGGACAGCTCACCTGAGCGCCCCTTCCGGAGGATTCGTCCCTCCCAGGGCTGGTGAGAGCAGGGGCTTGAGACCCGTTCCCTCTGGGCCACACTTGGGCTGCTCACGCTAACCAAGTGTTGGCCTGTGTGGGGTCCTACAGGTGCCTGGGTGCCAGAGGGGTGGGTGCAGCAGGAGCCCAATGCAGTGGAATTGGGAGGGATTTCTCACCCTGGCTCTACTCCAGATACCCAGGGTGGAGCCATGAACAGCTGGGCCCTGCGCACTTGTTGCCGAAATCTCCCCCCACACGTGTTCAGGCCATAGCTCACGCACAGCCTCTTCACCCCAGCTGACACCTTGTATCCTATTCCTCCCCCAACCAGCCTGGGACTGGAACAGAGCTGGCACCCCTGGAAAGTAAAGGCCCACCTGGGGCTGGACTGGGGCCAGTGCCCTCCAGCAGGGAAAGGACCCCAGTCCCGTTCCTGGAGCCAGCCGCGCTCCAGCACTTGCTCCCTTAGCCAGGATCTGAGTCTCAGGGATATATGCCCGGCTGATACCTATCGCTTTGCATGGGCGCCTTGGGTTCCTGGTTACCGTACAGTGACGGGCAAGGTCTAGACCAGGGCCACTCAACACGCAGCCTGTGGGTCACATGCAGCCCGCAGCTCATTCGTTTGCGGCCCACAGTGCGGTTTAGGTTTACGTGGGGCTCTACACACGGCCCGTGGGTGGGGTCCTTTGAACGTGGCCTCCACTGGGAGCACGCTCCACAACGGCCCAGTGTCTCCCAGGCGGGGTGAGCACTGAGATGCAAGCAGACGGGCCGGCTGGAACAGACAGGTACAGGGTATCCGCGTTTCTAGCCCCAGGGAAGAGGTGCTGGGAGCACCGGAGCATTGTGGGAAGTGCTGGCTGCTCAGCTTTGTGGGCAGCGCTTGAGAAGTGCTACCTGGCTCACACTGGCCACATTTGGGTCCAGTGCCGCAGCTTAATCTTAGTATTCATGCCCGTCGGTGTGAACAAAGCTATTTGCATATATTTGCGTGTATACGCAACCACACTTAAGTTGCAGCCCTCAGCACATGCTGTGAGGATCCTTGTGGCCCCCGGGGCTTCCACAGTTGAGTAGCCCTGGTGTAGACTGTACTCCAGCTGCCTGGCATGAGCCTCCTGGGGGGGCAGGGCTTACCTTGACCTCCCCTCCCCCCAGGTTTATTCTGGATGACTCTGCCATCTACTTGTCTGACAAGTGCGACGTGGAGACTGTTGATCTGCGGAAGGGTAAGAGCTGCTATGCTCCGGGCACTGAACAGAGCAGCTATTGGAAAGGCTGCTGGGGAGTAGCAGGTATCCCTTGAGCACCCTGCCCCAACCCTTAGGCTGGGCTCTTGGCAGGTCTTTCAAGCTAAGGAGCTTGCCCCTGCTCGGTGCTTGGATGGCGTTGATGCCATGACTGCGCAGGTCTGACAGCCCAGCATGGTGGCAGGTGCCCCGTGCTGCTTTCAAAATGTCTGAATGAACGTAACCGTTCCCCCGCCCTGGGTGTGGTGGTGCTGCATGGACACCACCACACGGGGGGGGAAACAGCCAGTTAGAGAGAACTTGCAGCAGAACCCAGGAGTCCTGGCTCCCCGCCCCCCTGCTCTAGCCCACCGGATCTCACACCCCTCCCAGAGCCTAAGACACACTCAGGGTCCTGGTGGGGCTGAATCTCTGTTCTCCCGTGGCCTCAGATTACGTGTGTGTCCTGGACGTGGATCTGCTCGAACTGGTCATCACCACGTGGAAGGGGAGCACCGGTGGGAAGCTGGTGAGGCTCAGCCTGGCAGAAAAGGGGCGGGCTGGGCTGGTCCTAGCAGCTGCAATGCAAAGGGAGGGAGAGAACTGCACCTGAGAGGTGACTGTGCGTGGGGTGGGCAGGGTGCTCCCTGGAGCCAAGTGCAGGAGGTGGGTGACTCCCAGCCCCTTGCAGTGACCTTGCAGCACGAGCACCTTCCCCAGTGCAGCCTCTGTTGTTTTCAAAGCTGCATCGCTGCGTTTCTAAGCCTGTGGGACCTGCGGTGCCCTGCCTCCCTTCAGAATCCTGCGCTGTCTGCTGCCCAGTGACACAGCCAGTTAGAGAGAACTTGCAGCAGAACCCAGGAGTCCTGGCTCCCCGCCCCCCTGCTCTAGCCCACCGGATCTCACACCCCTCCCAGAGCCTAAGACACACTCAGGGTCCTGGTGGGGCTGAATCTCTGTTCTCCCGTGGCCTCAGATTACGTGTGTGTCCTGGACGTGGATCTGCTCGAACTGGTCATCACCACGTGGAAGGGGAGCACCGGTGGGAAGCTGGTGAGGCTCAGCCTGGCAGAAAAGGGGCGGGCTGGGCTGGTCCTAGCAGCTGCAATGCAAATGGCAGGAGAGAACGGCACCTGAGAGGTGACTGTGCGTGGGGTGGGCAGGGTGCTCCCTGGAGCCAAGTGCAGGAGGTGGGTGACTCCCAGCCCCTTGCAGTGACCTTGCAGCACGAGCACCTTCCCCAGTGCAGCCTCTGTTGTTTTCAAAGCTGCATCGCTGCGTTTCTAAGCCTGTGGGACCTGCGGTGCCCTGCCTCCCTTCAGAATCCTGCGCTGTCTGCTCTGACCTCTCCCCAGGACCTGGGATCCCATCGCTCTGCCTCCCCTCCCCATCCTAGTGCTAACTTGGCCTGTCTCCCTCTCATTGTACTCCACCCCAGACCCAGCCGCTGTTTGAGCTGCGCTGCTCCAACAATGTGGTGCATCTGCACACCTGTGCCGACTCCTGCGCCATGCTGGCCAACCTTATCCAGTACGTGGTCAACCACGGGGACCTCCACCCGCCACCCCGGCAGGACAGCCCCACAGAGATTGCTGGCCAGAAGGTGCAGGTAAGGCGAGGAAGCTGGACTGGGGTCCTAGCCGAGTAGGTCAGGCTGGCTTGGTGCTCAGAGCGGGGACCTGCAAGGGGATCTTCCAACACTCTAGCTAAGCAGGGTCAGACCAGTTCAGTGCCTGGAGTGGGGGGGGAGGGGTCGGGGAGTGCTCAAGGATCTTTTGTAGGTTAGTTAGGTGGAGTTAGCCAGTTTGGGGCATGGCTGCAGGGCCTACTCCAGTGAGAGCCAACCACTAAAACTGGGCAAATCAGAGGAGAGATACAGCCCTTCTTATTTGTAAAGCAGCAAGAGATTCTGCATTGGAGCAACTTATATGGGGATACAGAGTAGGCCCCAGCCCTCGGGGTCTTTAAATCAGACTCTGTTTCCAAGCTTCACTCCAGCTCAACCATCAGATCTGGGCTGGATGCAGGGTTCTCCCAGCCTGCGTGTTGGAGATCGGCTGGGATGATGTGGCCTGTATGTCTGACGGAAAGGCATGCTCTGGGGGGCCGGCGGGAGCTCAGTAAGTGGTGCTCTCCCAAGCAATGGGAGCAGATTTCAGGGCTGTAGTGTGGCGCTAGGGGTCACTGTTCTGCAGGGCGGGAGGGCTCAGTAGAGAACATCTCCCCTGACAGTCAACACTGACCCGAGTGCCCACCCAGCGCTGTGCTGTCGGGAGCAGGGTGAGGCTCAGCAGGGGGTGCTCTCCCTTCGCCATCTGCTGATCCCACTGTCCACGGGCAGTGCTATGGGTGCTGTGCCAGAGGGTGCATTCTCCTGTCTGATCCATGGGGTTTGGTGAACTCCCCTGATACTATACAAGTTCTGCTCCCAGCCCTTCTGCAAGGGGGGGGTGTGCGTCTGGCTTCTCAGGGACACCCCTTCCCCACACAGTACCTAACCTGCTGATTGTGGTTGGCCCCCAGCTGTCAGAGAGCCCAGCTTCGCTGCCCTCCTGCCTGCCTGCCGAGACGGCCACCATTAACCAGCGGGACCTGACTGACGCCCTCATCGACACCGATCGTGGCCTGAGGGACCTGGCATCAGAGCCGGGTAGGGGGTGCCAGTCAAACCCTGGGGAGCCACAGGGCTATCCCCTTGCTGCCTCTGCCTCCTGGGGGGCTGCTGGGCCATGTTGGGGGAGGGGAAGGGCTGCTGGCTGGGTGGCACCTGGCTGCATCCCTCCTTCTACAGGGTGAGAGAAATTAGCATCATCTCCCCAAATCATTGCCTGGCTGAATGGGCTGTTCAGTGCTGGGGGATGTCCGGCGGAGGGTTCCATTGGCCAGACCCGCGGGTGTGTGTGGGGGAAATGTCCGGCT